GTGTCCTCCCGTTGAGAACGAATACTTGGCCGCATCAATCGCTTCCCGTTATTCACTGTCTGTTTCGTCGTGTTTGTGCTCCTTACAAGGCACAACAGCGCGTCGTGTCCACGCTCACGTCATTCCAGATCTCAGGGGATGCAAGATCGTCGAAGAAAGGCCAACAGCGACGATCGGGGAATCAGAATGGGTTGCGTTGTCAGCAGATAATTTGACAAAGTGCCTGCACTCTAACAATTAGCTTGTTTTGCCCAGGTCCTCCATAGTTGCAGAGGCTAACCTTCTCCGGGGCCGGCATTGCCAAAGCCAAGGAACTCGACGACAAGTGGTAACAAGTGTGCACGAACGCCTAAGGCAATGATCGTGTCCAATGTAGACGCCGCTTTCCCCCACGGGTGGTCTTCGCTGAGTTCGCTTAGAAGCGTTAACTCAAGTTTTGCAGCAATGACAGCGTTGTTGTGGCTGCGGACGAAGGCGGCTCCCAGTGGCCGATTTTCCCGAAGTGCAGTCTCCAGGGCATGTAGAATCCGGGCAGCTAGCAATGATGACGGTTTGGCGGACCTCACAAATGCAGAAAGATTGCGAGAGAGTTCATCGTCCCGTTGTTCAATGTGCTGAAGTAGGTTGGTCACTGCTGAGGCGAGTGAATCTAAGTCTTGGGGGGAAGCGGTTGACGACTTGATGGCCGTAGCACCGGCTTCAACCATCTCTACGAAGCGTCTCATTTCCTCGTCAGAAGAAAGGCGAATCTTCCCGTTGGGTGGAGGCGCTACGGCGAGCTCGGGAAGGGTGATCCTGAGCGTGAAATGGTCCGAGCTGGTGGCAAGATGGTCTTCCACCACGGCATGGGCCAAAGCAATGTCGGAGAAGGCAAGATCAATCGTGTTGCCGTGAGGGTTTGTAGGGACGTCGTGCGGGTTGAGCAGGTCCAGGCCATGGGCCGTCGCCCACTCGGCTACGGCCTCGCCGCGGCCTTCCATGCGGCCGGTTTGCCAGCTGTGGTGTTTGGCGTTGAAGTCGCCGGCTACCAAACACCTGCCCGGTGCTGGCCATTGGTGTAGTATTTCCAGTGCCCCGTCATACGACGGTTGGAGGTAAACGTTCGCCAGAGTAATGTCGTTGGTCACGAGCCAGAGAACGTCACGGGTGGCAGCGGGCCTTCTCTGATCGACCGTTAGACCAGACCTACGGCGGACATAGGTCATGACTCTGGGTCGGGTGCTATTGTCCTCCCAGCTGTCGACTGGCGAGAAGGTGTCGTAGGCGGGATGCGTTTTGGTGAGGCAACGGCCCCCCTTGGCTTCTGTCCATGGTTCCTGGAGAAGAACGACGTCGTATCGTTTCAGAATCTGCGAGGGCAAGGGCGCAGTCGTGTGCCGGCGGGATCTTGCCCACGCTCGCTTGGAAGAGTCGCAGAGTCTTCTTGCCGCTTTTTTGAGTACGGGGATGCCTCGTCATGAATCTTGCGAGATGGGGTCGATGCGTCGCTTCTTGGAAGGAGAGGCAGGTCTGCTCACGGGCCGAGGAGTCGTATGGGCTAGCTCCGGAGTGCTTGCGTCGCTTGATGTCGGTGTGCTTCGGCAGGACGTGGAGGTCGTATCGCTCGCTGTCGTTGATTGGGATTCGGGGCTCGAGGACACTTCCCGCGGAGGGGATGATGCCGGCTTTGTTGTGTGCTGTTGGAAGAGGCGCAGGCCCATGCGACAGACGCGATCCTTCTCGGGCCTAGTGAGCCTGCGCACTACTCCGTTTATCTTCTTGGGACGGGCCGGGCACAGGGAAAAGTCGACCGCGTGCGGTCCGCGGCAGTTGGCGCATTGCTGTGTGGCTGCACAGGTACCCAAAGCGTGTCCAATCCTACCACAGTTCTTGCAGCGTGGCTGGCGTCCGCAGCTATAGCGAGAGTGGTAGTCCCAGCAGTTGTCGCATTGCTTCGGGGGTCTGGTCTTGGTGATGCGTCTTGCGTAGCTTGTTGTGTCAAAAAGGCGCCAGTAGTGCTTGACTTCCTTGGCAAAGGATATGATCAGGGTTCGGGTCGGGCTCTGGTCCGAGTCCAATAACTATGTATAAGTTAGTTATTCTGAAGTAGTTATTCTTAAATTGGTTCTTGCCAGTACTTCCTTGTAACGAACAGTCAGCGCTGGCCCTTCGATCAGTCGCTCCACGGATGGCCGTCGTCTACTCAGACGGTTCCCTCTCCCAGGAAGGAGCCGCAGGGTACGGATACGCAATGCATGTGGATGAACTCACCGTCCTCAGCGGAAATGACTGCCTTGGGCCTGCCGAAATCTGCAAGGCATGCTGGCCTCTTGGGGGACGGCCGTGCATTGGAGGCTGTGGGGTGACTGGGGTGTCTGCGCTCCAGACAATTACAAGTCCTGGCTGGAACACACTGCATCTGTCCCATGGGATAGGAAAGCACCAGACCCAGCACTCGATGGCGCTGCAATTTGTCGAGATCCAAGCTCACGCCTCGTCGCAAACGCCTTGTGGAGGTCAATTCAAGAGCGCCTGGCTCAGGCGGAGGCGAGGCCAGGCGAGGCCGGGCACACGGCCACGATGCTGACAGACACAAGAATGTGCCCTGCAGCTGCCAGAAGACGGAGCACACGGTCTGTTTCTCCGGGCCAGCCCGGAATGGACCGTGACCGTTGGGCGGAGCGCACATGTGCGCGAGACAAGAGACGGCTGGCTGAAGCCATCTCTTCTTGTGTCACCGGGGAGCGGGTGTTCGCAACAAGCTGGCTGGGTTCAGTAAGTCTGGCGCGTTCCCACCACCCCTGCTCTCCCATCCATGATGCCTGGCCTTGCAAGCTCGACCATGCCGGCTGCCCGGAGGTGAGAGTCGAGCGTCGGGGTCCGGTGTCTGGCGGGCACCGCTTCTATCCGGGAGCGGCCATATGACGAAGTTGCCAGCGAATTGATGGGGTGGGTGGAGAAGCTGCAAGCATTGCCGAGCGTGACCATGATCGAGCTTGAGGCTGTTCGATGTTGCTGGCAGGAGGGGGCCGGAAAGGGCTGAGGAC